CACTTACAACTTCAAATCCATAAATGAAATTTGGACAACAGTAATAACATGAAGGCCAACCCTGAAAAGTGCTCTAGAATACTGAATGACTAATCGCATCAAGGTTGAGCATGACAACCAAAAGCATGTAACAGATGAAACAGCATCAACTGTATACCTTACTACAAGCGTTCGGCTCTACAAAACAGGATTGGGTTGTTCTTGTTTTTGTTGTTGTTACTGTTACAATGGGACAAGAGCGCCTCAAATTAAGTTATGAGTCAATTACCTGAAAACCGCCCGACTTGGGAGAAAGAGTGCCCTAAAAAAATGGACAATGAGCAGTGAACAAGTGGAATGAGAATTTGAAGCAAACACAAATTGAGCTGACAATCTCACCAGTCCACTGCTACCGCGGCTATCAGATTTGCGCACATATGCATTTTCAATTTCACAACCAATTGTAGGAGAAGAGGATGACGAAGGATTTAGCAGGAGACACGAGGAAGCACTGAGGGCATCCCTGTTTGTTACATCCATTAGTGGACTTTCATGGGCAGGGAAACCATGCGCCTTTCTAAACTCCGCCAAAAGCAGACTGTGCTGAGCAGTTCGAGCCAAATGTTTGGGATAGGGCACATCCTTTCGCAACGGCGTCATACCAGTCGGTTTGTAGCTGCGAACAGTCTTCGACAGGTGTTCAGACAACAGCACAGGCAGACGGGGAACCAAAGCGGTGGATATGTTGTCCAATTCTGGGATGTAAGCATTAACAGCTGAAGCAGCATCATCCACCTTGGCTAAAGACTCTTCAACAGTCAGCTTATTCTGGTTCAGACGGGTTTTAGAATCTTTCACTGCGCAAACGAAAAATTCCGTGGATTTCCCATCATAGAGGGACTTCACTTCCGAACCGAGAGCCTGCCACTGGACGGATCGATCAACCAGCTTCTTGCCAATGCCACCATCCGACGACATGCATTCATTGGCGGCCTGTGAGGTATACTCCACCAGAGTGTCCAGTGCAGCTCCAGCATCCTGAATGCTGCTGCTCAAAGAAGAGAGGTGCACTGCACAATCATCCAGAGCGGGGGCAACGCTTGCGACGGCAGCTGCCTGAGCCTCCTTGGCTGAGGCGATGCAGCCAATCAAATCGGAGGAAGCTTGGGTGAGCGCTTCCTCTTCAAAGTCCGCTATTTTCTGCATACGATCAAGCTTCGCCGCCAAATTCGCATCAATCTGATCCGAGTAGAAAACTTTTGTTATTTGAAGAGAATACACAAAAGCCATTCTAATTGGGCGTAAGGAAAGTAGTTCCATGAAAGTGCAAGTTATTCCGATGAACACATTCTCAGAAATGCATAATCCACCAAAATACACTGACTCTCCAGGAATAAGGTAAGTACACAATCAAATTCGTTTTACAGAGTCCCTAGGATGTTCCTTTCGTGTTTCACTCAGCCAACCTTTATGAAAATCATTGTAGGCCTAAGCATCTTCTCTGGTATCATGAAAAAAAATCTATTTTCACAAAGCAGGCATCATCAATGTTCAAAATGCTTGAATGCGATGGGCTTGTGTGGTGAGGAGCGGCCACAAGAATAAAGGCTTATGCGACTTCACATTCAAATTCGACGTATACAACAGAAAACCTATCTACGCACCTTCGCATCAGATTCCGCACGTGTTTTAACGAGAACGGAGGCAGAGGACAGAGCTTTCTGAATAGCACAAAAAGATGCATTTCACAAAAGGTAATAAGGAAGAATTGTAAAAATGAAATTCGCAAAAAAATAAATCCGAAGTAACTAGATTAACATCAAAGCAACCACAAGAACCGCCGTTGCTTACTTGTAGGATTTCGATAAGAGCACAAGTCTCAGCTTCCTCAACCTTACGTCTCTCCTTCAATTCAGCACACATATTTCGATTCTCCTCCAACTCAACATCACGCAAACGTGCCCACGCCGTTGCAGAGCTAGAAAGGGCGATCGCCCTTGCAGTGAGATCCTCAAACACTTCAGCACGAACCCGAGCCTAAGGAGTGATATCCGTGAAACAAAAAATCGGTCGGTTTACTTTAACTACGTTGGATTCTCAACAGAATTAAAAGAAACGACTATGAGGCTATAAAATATTGCAAACACCCTCTGTGTCTCTCATGATCCGACTAACGAAACATGGGAACAAACTACTTTTAGCTAATTCAGTAGAAGCAAAGGCTTACAAATCACATAAGTCTCAGAACTTCTTGGAATCCCGAAGATATTCACTT